TGTTTTTAATGACCCAAGATGGTGACCGTGAGCATTATAACGAAACTCACTGAGCGCTAAGTGAAATCGGATATCAATTGCAAATGTGTGTTATAGCAAAATAGTGCTAAGTGAAACACTGTTAAGTAGAGGTTGCCTGTATGTAACTAGGTACAATAAGCTATTTTGTTGATCCCTTACTGCACACTTGTCTGACAATATTTCTGAAAGCAGTAGGGTTGGCCTATAGATTAGTATTCAGGAAACTAAACTTGTTCTCTTCAGTGTACTCCCTGTGAACAAGATTTCTTCAGTGCAGATATCTGTTTAGCAAGAGACCTTTTTCTTTTTCATGTCCCTGCCTGTCCTCACCCCCTTGTAGATAAATTAGGTTTTGTTTGTTTTAGGTGGCAACAAGGAGTCGGGTTTTCTTATTTGATATTTTTCTCCTGGGGCCTCGAGCCTTCAAAAATGGACTACAAATGGTGCTGGAAGATGAGAATATTTTGAAGGTAAGGTTTTAGATTGTTTAAAGCCATTGAAGATTGTGGGGAGGACACATGTTCAGAACCATCAACAAAATATATATATATATATATATTTAGGTATCAGATCAGCAGCTAGCCAGCTTCAAATCTTTTTTTGATCCTTCAGGTTATCCATGACTGCCGTTGGATCTCTGACTGTCTCTCTCACAAGTATGGAATCATTCTCTCCAATGTCTTTGATACACAGGTACCTTGCTAGATAGATTGGTTTGTAACCAGAGAAAACAGTTTTCAAGAGAAGAAAGCTTAGTGATATTAATTACTTTAAAAAGGTTTCTCTGGACTAGGCTAAATGTTTTGTTTAGAATGTGTTTGCTGTCACACCTCAATAAAATGTTTTGCCCCAATCAAGCAAAATTCTAAAAGAAAGCTGAAGTACAGCTTGCCTTGTCTCTAAAGTGTTGGAATGTGTTAGTTAGGATGTGCTCACTAAAGTACTAAGGAAAGGAGCTTTTGTCCCACTCAGAAAACCTGTCAGGAAAAAGGTGTGGGGTTTTGTGCTTTAAGTGTTGGTTTATAAATGTTGGCATCTAGTGTAGATAAGTTAGTTGTTCTTGGTTAACCTTGCTGGAGCCGGAGACTGCTTGAAGTTGTACAGAAGGGCAAGCAGACTCTTGGTAATAAGGAGTTACCATCTTTATCCTTCCCATTCCTGTTACAGGTGGAAAAGCAAAATAAAGGAAAAACAGGCCATGTATGCCCTGTGCTGGAGTAGCTCCACCCATACTATCAACAGTGGAAGTTACAGCTTAGAACTGCAGTGGTAAATCCATCTGATTCCATTGTTGCAAGCTGTGGTAAAGCTGTAAGCATTGTATGCAGTGCTGTTGCTTTATTTTTACTACTCTGCATTATATTATTAGAATAAGACCTTGAAAACATAATATTATATTGAATGACTTTTTAGGCTAGACTCAGAAAAGTTGTGTTCAGCTAGTCATGCCTGCCACGTTTTTGTAGTGTAAGCAAGGCTCCTTGCCTCTCTCTTTTCTAATCATAATTTTATATAAGTGTCTAAATGCAGCTGATGGTTGACCTGTCGCTCACGGTCACCATCACTGGCCGAATGCCAGTCAGGTTTTGCCAATCCAGTTCTAGGCCTGGTCTGTTATATCTGTCACTAGATCACCTGAGCCCAAGAAAACTCCAACATGGAGGGTTTTTGCATCCAGCATCGCCAAACAACATGTTGAAAACGGCTGCCAGACCCATCTGAGCCTGGTCTAAACAGAGAAGTTGCACTAGTACAGTACCCCCTGATGTTAGGAGTGGGCACAAGCCCATCTGCTTTTCTCATGCTGATAGAACTCTAAGCTTTGATTTTATAAGTCTTACTTGTAATTAGTCCAATTCTGTTTTGGTAACAGATAAATTGATTTAGTGTCAGTTTAGACACATTACACTTGCAGTAAAACTGAATTGATGCAAACAGTCCTGCTGCTGTTGTTCTTCACTACCTGAGTCCCTGAATAATTAATGTGTCTGTTTATCTTTCTGTTACTCTGGGGTTGTGTCTGGAACTCATCATCTGAGCTACTAGCAAGTAAATTACATTTCTTAAAGAGAGGCAGCTTCTTAAAGAACATTCATAAGACCTACCAATGTACCTTACACTCTGTATGGTGTCTCTATACAGTTTAGCAACATTTAAAAAAAAAGAAAGGGAAAAAAAAGAATAATTGGTATGCTGCTGCCCTAATACTGCATGGCTTGACTAAAATAAATTAATTTACTGTCAATCTTTGGGACAATTGCTGTAGTAACTGGTCAGTCAGATGCTTGCAAGTGAGTAAGTTAATAATTGACTGTTAATATAACTCATTGGTGTATAGCAATGAGTGCCTCCTAACATAGCTTAGTGAATGTAATGATTCCATAGCTTTATTGCTCCTGTTACGCTCCTTATGACTACATGAGAAGGTTTTACTCATGGCATTTGTCAGCATACTACTGCATCACTATTTTACTAGGCTGTATGCCCATTTGACTGCTTCTGCTGATGCAGTCCTTGCAGCAACAGGTTGCATTGATGTAGATATGCCTCATTCAGGCTTAGCATCCCCCCATTTCCTGTACCACCATCTAGTGCACTGTTCTGGGAGATTTTTGCAGTCCATCCTGGGAGCTAAATTCCCTTAATCCCCTCTGTTTCATATAATAACCTCTAACTCTCTGGGTTACATCCTTTACTCCACTCTTACTTGTGCCCATTTCCACCTTGTTGCAGAAGCTTGGATGCTGAATCACTTTGTAGAGTTCTTCAGGCAGTTTTAGGGAAAGGGCACTTAATTCTTCTGTACTTGCAGAACTTTATCAGTCAGCATAGTGGTGGGTGTGCAGTAGTGAAAATTAAAACTGAGGAGGAGGCGTAGATAATACGGACAGGGAATGAAAATTGCTTGGCACTGCAGATATTCACCTTCCAGATGCACATGCCAGCATTGCTTCTGAGCCTGTGAAACAAATGCTAAGTAGCAGGATTGGTTTGTGATGTGCATCTGGGATGACTGGGCAGAATTGCAGAACATTCAGCTGTATGAATGCTGTGTTCCTGGAGTTGTGTGCCAAGTTTGCCTTGGGTCTTCAGCAGAAGACTATTAGAGTTGGAGCTGTTCTGAGGGTGACAGCCTGTGTGGAGATTGTGCTCTGGAAGTTCATGACCCTGGATTGCTATAAGTCATCAGGTAGTTAGTTTGGTACTAGAAGATCCACAGGGTGGGTGATTGCCCTCTAGGAATGCAGTGCCATTCAAAATGCTCTGTTGCATGGAACTGTAACTTTGGACAGTGTGCAGGAATTAAAGAAGGATTTGATGCGGTGGGATTCTAAAACTGTGAAGGAGCACTAGATGGGGGATGCATACTGATTCTGGGCCTGCTTCTTGCTTTTAAGTAAATGTACAGAAGAGAATACTTTTCCATATCTAGAAGAAATTGGTGGATCATCAGGAATGCTTAAGATTGGCCTGCCAGAGAAAGTGCATCATGTTTGCATTTTTAGTAATACAGGACTCTGAAAAGCTTCTGACAAGGACACTTTTCCAGGCCAATTGTAATTCTTTCTGATCCAGACTGTCCTTTTTTTCCCTGGCTTATGAAAACAGACAGTTTGGATAGCAGCAAGGGCAGTTTTAACTATTGCCTGAGCAGTTGTAGGATGAGTGTTGAATGTGCACTAGTAAAATGAATGGATGCTGGAGATGCTTCATGAATAGGTTGGACATCGGTGACTGAATTCTCTGATCCTTATTGCTGTTGTTTGTGTTTTACACGGTATTTATGAAGCAAGGGAAGAAATACTACTAACAGGGAAAATGCTATCTACTGATCTTGAATAGTCAGAGATGAGCAAGATCACATCTAGGTACTGTACAGCTAGGGGAGGAGGCCTTAAGAGCATGCTTGGACAGTATGGCACTGTCAATGTTCTGCTTTGTCAGTGTGAAGCAATTGTGCTTGGCTGGTACCTGAGTTTTATGTGACTTGTAGTGTGCCTTATGGAACTGGACACTGATGTGGGGATACACATCTGCCTCTTTAAAACATAATAAAAGAATCAATATTTTCACAAATGAAAGCTATTCTGCAGTAATAAATAACAAGCATACTTCTAAACAAATGTAAGACCACTTAAAGTGTGAGATGCTGACTATTCTTGTAAGAATTCCAGGATGTGGTTTTATA